CCCCCCCCCCGGCACTGAAGGTGCTGCCCACTGCCTTCACGTTCCCGTGTGGCGGAGCATCTCCACACCCGCTTCATCCCTGGTCCGTGGATGTGACCTCCTCTGAGTTTCAGAGTCTTCACTGGATTACCTGTGCTGTGAAATTTCACCCCGATGGGTCTCAGGACAGGTGTGTTCAACATTCGGGGCCTGGTAGGCATTTTTAACCCAGACACACCTTCTTCGGTCCTGACAGACCCTGGTGCCACTGCCTGGTCATTTCCTCCCTCACATTCTTCTCTCTTTTCTCTACTAAGTTTCAGACCTCCCGAATCTGCTCTCTAATTTTCCATTTCAATTTTTCTCCTGTTTTCTATTTCGCTTTTAAAGTTTTACTTTCTGAGATAATTCCTTGAATATCTTCCATACTTTATTGAATTTTAAAATATTTTCTACCCTATTTTAAATTTCTAAAATTATCCATGTTTTCCAACTGTTCTCTTTCTCCTTAGAGCACCCTGTTTTTATTGGATGTATACACCATCTTCTCTTGAGGCTATAAATTATAATCTAAAATATATAATTTAGTATATAAAATACACATTAACTATATTCATGTAAATATAAAATTCATATACAACCCACGTGTCCGTCAGCAGAATAAACTATGGTTGGTGCACACAATGGAAGCCACTCAGCAAGGCAGGATGAGTTCTGGCCGCAGAACTGCACGTCCAGCGCGAGTCCAGAGCATTACCGAAGTGAGCACGGCGCACCCAGAGGCTGGGCACTGCATGGTTCTATCATGTGAAACTCTCGCGGCCTTGCTGCAGTGATGGAAACAGGCCGACAGCTGACTGGGAGTGAGGCTGAGGACATGAGAATCCTTTGGGGTGATGGCAAGGCTAGTGGTTACATACATAATCTGCTCATCAAAACTCACTGATGCTACACTTAAAATGGGTACATTTTACATACAAATTATACCTCAATGTTGACTTAAAACAAAATGAAAGAAGAGTCAAAGATGACCAGACTTTACGGAAGGCCCGCAACATGAAAGAAGAGATAGAACTTGGAAGAACAGAGAACTTGCAGAAAGTAGAAGACAAGGTCAAAGAAAGTACATGTCAAAGAAATGATATGCTGCACAGAGTCTGTTTCTGTTTCTATTCTCCCTGATGTTTGGGGTGACGTAGGACAAGGGTGGAAGCGTGCTCACACTCTGCGTGAAACTTGGACTGGCATCACAGTTTGTAAAGAGCAATAAAGTTCCAGGTTGGTGGGCAACCCGTACAAAGCTGTGCTCACTACCCACTGCAGACCAGGCATCTGGCAAGGGCTGGGGACCCTGAACTAGTTTAGGAGCATGAAACCTGAAATGAGGACGTTTTCAGAGTTTAAAATTTGGTGATAATGCACTTATATTTTTATGGGTTTAGCAACTTGTCAAAGCCCTTGTTTTGTTTTAACCACCATGAGCTTGTCTCTCAAATGGCAACACCTCATACGACTCATGAGGAAACCCATCCGGCAAGGTCAAGGGCAGGCTCAAGGCTGGGCACTGAGTTTACAGCACAGTCTGGATAAGATTCCAGGTCATCTGGTTCACAGCACCTCTTGGACACCTCTGCCAGGCCACCGGCCAATGCTGACCCCCGTCCAGGAGATGCGGGGAGGGGAGAGGACCACCAGAGCCCAGTGCCCCCAGAGGAGTTTCCCAGCTGACCCCGCCTTGCTCTCCTGCCACACTTCCCGATCCCAGGGCTGGCGCAGTCTCTCTGATGCTCCGAGAGGGAGAGCATGCAAGTGTCATCACCTCCGGTCACAGAGTAGGGAATGCGGACTAGGAAGCTAAACTCAACCACACAGGCCTGAGCTGTGGCTGACACCGCTAGCCCTAAACCCCGCTTTCTCACCCCTCCCGGTCTCGGCAGCTCAGGGTGGGCTCACCACTTCCAGCCCTGCAGGCATTCAGTCCCCAGGCCCCCCACCCACAGGAAGTCCACATCAGCCTCCGGGTTCATCTTCTCAGCAACACGTCAGCAGCAGAGACGGCAACAGCAAGTTCTCTAAGACTCGGGCCAGCAGTTGTGTTTTTGTTTTTGAGCAACATATATTGTTACCTAAAACAATGAAAGACACCCACCTAAGCTGAACTCTAAAATGGGTTCATCTGGATCTTGTAGATTTCCTGAATAAAAAAGAAATGCCAGACAAAAATCAGCCTTAATCAACTTTTCCCTGCTTTCAGATTTTATACAAAAAACACACAACCCCAACATACTTATCATCATTTCAGTGTTTGTAAATTGAACTGTCATGCCGCACACCTTAAATGCATACAATGATGTGTGTCAATTATTTCTCAATAAAACTGGGGGGAGGGGGGACTCCAACATTCTACTTATTTTTATATCCAAAACTTATGTGAGGTGATTTCTTCATTTTATAAACTTTTTGTTTTGAGGTTTCTAGAAAGTCTCAGACTCCAAGACCAAATCCCTACCTTTCCAGGTCTGCATACCCACAACAGACAGGCCTTTCACTATGGCCTGGGCACTGGCCAGACAGGCCCCATGGACACTCCCACATCATCTCCTGGCTGGAAACCTGCAGCAGACTGGCTCCCTCGGAGGCAGTGTCAGGGAGAGTGCTGGCTTTCTCCTCCCTATCCTGACTCACCCAGAGGAGGCATCCTCCAGCCTGGGGCAGTCACAGGGGGCTCATACTGACTGTCCACCAGGTGCCCAAGGAGGCATGCATGGCCCTCCCAGAAATGCCATGTCGGAACCACTGGAGCCGCCCCAAGAGGCTCACCTGCCAGAGAGAGGCCAAGCATGTCAGCTGCCACATCAATGGTGGAAGCCCGCTGCAGTGCACGGGCCCTGGCGCCATGGCGAGGGCTGTGCTCTCTTGTTGTCATGATGTCATTGGTGATGATGTGTTTCCTGCTCCTGGGTCAGACCACGCCTGACTCCCTGGGAAGAGCTGTCAACCAGCCCTATCCCCTAAGGTGGCAGCAGTCCTGAGAAATGGGAACGAAGAATGGGAAGAAGCACAGATGGTGGCAGAAAGGCACTGTGAGATCACAGAGAGTGCGTGAGCTATGCGAGCAGGCACAGCAAGGCCAGGGTCCCAGCAGGTCAGGCCGGGGGAAGAAGAGTCTGATGGTCTAGGTCTCTTCAGTCACCACGTTCCCTACGCTCCCCAGCGCGCTCACACAATGCAGCAGGCCCGTGGGACCCATACAGAAATCGTGTTCTCTCTGACAAAGACATGCCACCTTAAATGATGTTTTACATACAATCGTAAAACATGGCTTTTGAGATTTTATTTGCTTTATTAAGCTTTCCCATTGGCAAGTCTCATAGAATTTCATAAAATTTAAAGCCAATTCGCTACAACCTCTGTTAGGATACAGATGCATGAAGGGGTTTGCCACCCTGGCTACAACAGCTCGGTGGGACATGGGACAGACAAAGGCTCATGCCCTCCAACCTTGCCCTCGTTCTTCCCAGAACTACAGAAACTACATGTGGGTCTCGGTCCTGCCTTTCTTTCCCACAAAACATATATGTGATCCTCTCGAGAGCCGAGTGCTGCGCTGGGGTGTGGCCATCTCTGAGAGCGGCCTCTGCTGGCTGAGTCAGACAGCCGCCACATGGGAAGCAGCAAGAAGTGAGTTTCACATTTTCCCAGCCCCATAGGCGGTCATTCCTGCTGTCTCTAGAAGGAACCACCCTTTAGAAGGTCAGGCAATGAGACTGAGCAGAAGGGCTGGTTTAAAACACCCCTCTCCAAGCCTGCGATTTCCAGACGCCCCATCTTCTCTCCGTGTGTCCGCACCTCTACCTGAAGGGCCCATGGTCCCACTCTTGAGGGGGTTCACTCACCCAGCAACTTACTGGACATGTTTGTTCTTGTTTCAGTAGTGACATGTGGCATTTCTTCATAGAAACATATCCAAATCCATCACCTAAAAATAGAAAGTTATACACTTAACAAGCTGGTCAACACGTAGGGAGTTCTTGTGAAAGAATCTATACTAATAAAAGGGTAATATGCTAATTAAACTGGACATTTTCCAGATGTCCTTCTTGACAAAGCCATGGTGGTGGGAGCCAAGGCAGAAGCAGTTAAGGGCGATCAGGCCAGCAGGGGAAGGCAGTTAGGGGGTGATCAGGCCGGCAGGGGAGGGAAGTTAGGGGGCGATCAGGCCGGCAGGCAGAGGCGATTAGGAGCCAGTGGTCCCGGATTGTGAGAGGGATGTCCGACTGCCTGTTTAGGCCCGAGATCCCCGGGATCGGGCCTAAACAGGCAGTCGGACATCTCCTGAGGGGTCCCGGATTGGAGAGGGTGCAGGCCTGCCTGAGGGACCCCTTCTCCCGTGCACAAATTTCGTGCACCAGGCCTCTAGTACATTATAATTCCAATACCTAGAAATATAGGAACGCCACAAGCTGTTTCATGTTCCTGTCTCCACACACCAATCTAACCTTCTGGCTCAAAAACAAAGGTTTTGCTCAAAGCCCAAACGAATGAGAACTAGACAGTACACACTCTGTTCCGCTCCAGGGGTGACCCAGGGGAATTTGGGGCAGCCCGAAAGAGCCACGTGAGCAGCTGGGGTGGATCAGGGAAAATGAGGAGGTGAGGATCTGAGTCCCAGTCCTCCCTCCCATAGGCCTCAGGTCCGAAGAGAGCTGCTGGGCCCCTCGGAGGCTCTGCATTTTGCTGTCTAAGATGAAGCTAGTTGTACCCATCTCACGGGGTGCAGTGAGAACCAGACCTTCCACAACGGGAGAGGGCTCTGCAAACTCCACTGGGCTCCCCAAACTCTGCTGGCCTCCCACAGTGAAGCAGGCAGGGGCCATTGTGAAACAGACCCTCGCCCCCCCCCCCGCCCCCGACTCTGACTCAGTCCTCGCACTGCTGGGGAGCTGTTGGGCGAACCTGGGGGCCCAGCGCATGAGCCATCTGAAAATGCCAGGGCCTGGGGTGCAGACCACTGGGAGAGCAGTGCTCTCGCCCTGGGCAAACTCAGTCCCTGGAGGCTGTGCTCCTGCCTCTCCCACTGGAACACCCAGGGACCTTCAGCCGGGCGCCTCAGCAGAGCAGCATGGCCTGGCTGGGGTCACAGTAGAAGTCACCAGGGGAAGATGCATCAGTTTGCTGAAATCGGAAGGCATACAAGTAAAAAATATGCAATAAAAATGGGAAAGTACTTATAGTATTAATATCTGTGAATTTGTAATTTACAAATTAATTTTAAAAACTCACTAAAAATCCAAGTAGCAAAAGGTAAGAATTCATAAAAGAGTAATACATGTGGTAAACATTTTGAACAGGGACCAGACTCATTCATAATAATAAAAGGAATGCTCCCCATACCTACATTCCCCTAAATTAGTCTGCCAAAAGCAGTTAGTTCTATTGAGAATATGCTTTGTGGGCGGACCTAGAGGAAATTCCATAGGACTGTCCTGTAGTGCTGATGACATGTTAGAATACTACAAGCATTTTGGAAAACAACTATTATTTATCAAAATTTGTCCACAACAAATTCTCGCCAATGATCCAGAGATGCTTACTGCAGTATGACTTACAATGACAAACTGAGACCAACCCAAGTGCCCACTGCAGGTGTCAGTGTCAACGCCTGTGAACACTGACATACGGCTGTTCGCGTGGTCATAATAAAGCCAACAACCACATGGACCGTTCTTCCACCTCATTAGCCACCAGGAAAGGCACGTCATGGGCATGAGATAGCGCATACCCACTAGAATAGCTGAAATGAAAAGACGGCAATACCAAGTGTTGGTGAGGATGAGGAGTGGTGGCCCTGATATACTGCTGGAGGAGTCAAGGGCACGGCCACTCTGGAAAATGCAGTATCTACTCAAACTGAACACTCATCCACCCTAGAATCTGGAATTGCTAACAGAAATGTATACTTATATTCCCCCCAAAAGAATGTGAAGAACATTTAGAGCAGTAACATTTATAACAGTCAAAAACCAGAAACAACCCAAATGCCCACCAATAGCAGATAAACATTACACAGGTGACTCCTAGAAATGATATCAAGGGGAGAGCCAGGCACACAGAGCGCATCTAGGCAACTGTGTTTCTGTGAGGTTTGGGCACAGCCCGATGAGCCCTTGGTGTTAGAGTCCAGATGGTGGTATTTCTGAGGGGTGAGTACTGATGGTGGGAGGAAGGGAGGGGTCCTACCTCAATAAAAAGTTTAATTTTTTTCAATGGCTGCAATGGAGACAACACAGTATGAAAGATGTTTACGTCAGTTCTGCATCATGTGGGTTTTCCACGCACTATTCCACCTGTGTTCTGGTTATAGCCCTTCCTTAAAAAAATGTGACACAAAGGCAAAGAGCCAGCAGGAGGCCACAGCACGATAGTGGCCATGTCTGGGGACATGATGGGGGCGGGGGGGAAGAAGGGGGGAAACGGCTTCCTTTCTTGGCTATCACCCCCTTCATCACTGAAATCTGCACCTCCTGCTGGTGGAGGCAGAGGTGGCACCTGGAGATGAATCAGCCAGGAAGGAGCTCTTCTCTCTTGAACCGCCCCCCCTCCCCCTGCTTATTCATGAAGATATAGCCACCTTCCCTTCAGTTGGGACAGCAGAGACTTGCCTCCTATCACAGGGCTGCATCTCACCTTGACATCTCAACCACCCAGGGAGGCTCCCATCCCCCTTCCCCTGCAGGGTCCCTGCCCACTCCACCCACCTGCCTTTCCCCTAGGACAGTGGTTCTCAACCTTCCTAGTGCCACGACCCTTTAATACAGTTCCTCATGTTGTGGTGACCCCCAATTTCATTGTTACAAATTGAACATAATTAAAGCATAGTGATTAATCACAAAAACAATATGTAATTATATATGTGTTTTCCAATGGTCTTAGGCGACCCCTGTGAAAGGATCGTTCGACCCCCAAAGGGGTCGCGACCCACAGGTTGAGAACCGCTGCCCTAGGAGGGAGTTTAGTATTATAGGCATTATGAGATTCTGGGGGTAGACATGCTTCAAGGGGAACATCTACAGACTAATTTTACAAACTTGATAGAGTTCACAGATCATAGAAGCTTTTAGGTCAAAAAGACCTCAGAAGGTACTTGGTGGTTACTTGGGGGCATTTAATTAGAATCTGCAATTTAAGTCATCAAGACCCAGAACAAAACGCTAATTTGCACAGCCAAACTCAATTCCCGTATTAGTCTCATTAATTTAAGGTGATTCACCAAGGATTCCCATATTCCCATGGTCCCCGTTTTCTTCCTCATTTGAAGATTGAAGCTCATTAGAAGCAAAACTACTCTAAAAATAAAGAGGACAGAAGGGGAAGGAGCGGTTTGGAGGACTGGGCTGGTAGGGAGGCGAGAAGGCGGCAGGAGCACTCAGGACACTCACTGCCTCCTCTTCCTCACTCAGAGAACCACGTAGTCCTGGCCATCGAACCAGCCACATGGGCGTAGAGGGATGAGGGCAGGGGGGCACGCAAGGCAGAGAGGCAGCGAGGGAGGCCAGGACTCACACAGCTTCATGGGACCAGCGAGGATGGCACCACTGTCAGAAGCTTCTCCAGGGGCCAGTCTTGCCCGCCTCCAGAGACCAGGCAACTTGTCTCAGGCAAGGAAGGCTGGCCCCTCCGCTCAGTCACCCCTGGGGAGGACTAACCATGGAGCCCCGCTGTTTAAAACTGTATTTATTTATTTATTTAATCAATCCTCACCAAAGGATATTTTTTTCCCATTGATTTTTAGAGAGAGTGGAAAGGAGGGAGGGAGGCAGGGAGGAAGAGAGAGAGAGAGACATCAATGTGAGACACATTGATTGGTTGCCTCCTGCACGAGCCCCAAACAGGGCCGGGGATCAAACCTACAACCCAGGTATGTGCCCTTGACTAGGAATCGAACCCGAGACTCTTCAGTGTGAGGGCAGATGCTCTAACCATGAGCCACACCGGCCAGGGCCAGAGCCCTACTTTTATTCATCTTAAACACTGGGGTTCTTCTGAAAATAATCTTGAAAAGGAGATGCACAGGTGAGGTCACAGAAATCCAGACACTTTCTCAGGGTCACGTAGAGGTACCGGGTGAACTGAGAAACAACCCAAAGCCAAAGGCCAAGTACAGCTGGGGCTGTTCTCTCTGCCCTTCGTAGCCCAGCATCCCTCTCACTGTCGCTGGGAGCCAGGGGCTAAGAGCAAGCCTTCCCTGGGCCTCGCTCTCCTAACTCAGGCAACAGTGAGAGAAAGTCAGAGAGAAAGGCTGAGTGAGTCAGCACGTGAGTCAGCAGCCCTGAGGAGGAGGCCACCTCCGGAGTCAGAAGAGGAAGAGTTTTCTCTCAAAACCCCTAAATCCAGGACAGCCACAATCGCCGAGTGATGAGGCATCCCATGGCTCACTGGCACCCAAACCTGGGAGAGGGCTGCTGCCCCCCGCCCCCCCCCCCCCCCCCCCAGGCAGCACGCATGCCCTGCACACAGCCAGCAACCACAGGCTGTCCTTCCAGAGGTGCCCTGACACGGCTGCAGTCTGTCCCTCCATGATGACCCGCTGGGACCTGTGTCTTATGAATAACAGACTTAACTCCTTGCTTCTCCCACACCCTCCTGGTGCAAAGACCAGGTTTTAGACAAACACCTGCTGGTAAACAAACCTTAAACACCTGTGGCGACTGTTGCTCACCAGAGTCTGGCTTTTTCCTGCCTCTGAGATACCCAACAGACAACTCCCGGTCCCTTCCCTCCAGTGCTGGAGAAAGCCTGCAGGGTGGCCCGCTCCCTCCCTCCCGCCTCCTGCCCCCATGCCGCACTGGCTGAGGGTGAGGCGAGGCTCACTGTGAGCACAGCTCCGCTCAGAGAACACCGCCTAATGCAGGAGTACACTGCAAACATCGGCCCAGGCTGCTAAGAATTAAATGTGGGAAACTAATGGGCCTTAGGAAGTCAAGCCCAGGAAAACAGAAAATGTGCAGTCGCCCGAGCTGGTTTGGCTCAGGGGACAGAGGTCGGCCTGCGGACTGAAGGGTCCAGGGTTCGATACTAGTCAAGGGCACATTGCTGGGGTTGCAGGCTCAATCCCCAGTAGGGGGCATGCAGGAGGCAGCCGATCAATGATTCTCTCTCATCACTGATGTTTCTATCTCTCTCTCCCTCTCTCTTCCTCTCTGAAATCAATAAAAATATATTTTTTAAAAATGTGCTATATTGATGCACATTCTCACTGGCAGGTCAAACTGCTGGGACAGCTTCTCACTCCCCAAGCCCTGCTCTCTGTCCTATTCACTGAACAGGCAGCAGTGGCAGGAAGCTCGCCACCCAATCTATTAACTAACCGGCCTCACTTGTTTCATGAATATGGCAGCTGATAAAATATAACGCCTAACCCAGACTCAAATGCACATCTGGGACTCCAAGGGGAGGAGTGAGCACCTGGAGTGGGCCATGGGTGTCCCTCTAAAAAACCAGGCAGGCCAAGTGCCCCTGGGTAGGACACGCCCAGATTGTTCAAGTTTCCCTCCTCCCCACGCCCCCTTCCAGACCCTTGGTTTCCCATCTCAGTCACTGGTAACTCCCACCCTTCCACTTGCTCTAGCCATGAAACAAAACCAGTGCTGGCCGCTGGCCTCCTCCTCTCACACCCCACACCCAAGCCATTCTGTTGGCTCTACCTTCCCAGAGATCCGGACTTCAACCCGCCTCAGCACCCAGCCCTGCCGCCCTGGCTCCTGACCAGTCCCTCCGCAGCCCCGGAGACTGTCTCCACGCAGCACTGGCTCCACCCTGGCCTCCATGCTGCTCAGAGCTCCCCAGCTGCAAGCCTCAGCAAGGCCAACGGAAGGCAGCTCCCTCACCCTGTATGTCCTTCCTCTGTATGTCCAGTCTTCAGGACAGTGGGTCAAAACTGCAGCTGGGCCCCTAGTGGTTCACCTAAGAACCATGAGCCTTTCAGGGATTTTGTACAGAAACCAGTTTGAAAATAAGTCCCCCTAAAAAGTGTTTGAAGGTGTTCCTGCTGAGTGACACGGGGGCAGACCCAGGTCTGGGTGCTGGCATCTCGGGGACCAGAGACGTGTTAATGGGCAGCAAGGACGCG